GTCACTGAGGCTGGGCGGGTTGAGGGATTGGGCTGCAAAGGCCGGCCTGCTGGCGGTCCCCCAAACATTCCCGGCGCAGCCTCCTGATACGGACAGGGGAGGCGGTCCCTCACGCAGCTTCTGCGGCAGGGGCCTGGCATGGCACCCGATCCGGCCCCGCCAGAGCCCTGGGGTGGCCTCCCAGGAGGCACGTGCCCTAGGGGGCTCTGGAAGCGGCAGAACCTCCGCGCGATCAACTCCCCGCCTCCACCCCCCCCCCCCCCCCCCGGGGGCAATCCTGCGCCCCCCTCCCCCGGGGGCTGCGCGGCTCTCCGGGACTCCCCGCGCCTCCTCCCGGCTCGCCCCCCGCCCGGCCTGGGAAGCACGCTCGTGCGTGCGCTGCTGCTGTTCTTTGCCAGTGGACGGTTTGCCCGGGGCGCTCACACGAACACACGCACGGAACGCTGCACGTTTAACCGGAAGTGCGCCTCGACACCGCTCGTGGTTCTCGGACTTTCCGCAAACCCGGGCGCCTCTCTGGAGGCCCAAACGCCGAGTCCTGGGCCTTGCTCTGATTGGACGGCCTACCCCGGAGGGGCTGCGTTGATTGGCTGAGGCTCGGATCACGTGCCCATCTGCAAACCAATTGCTGCGGCAATAGGGATGGGCTTTTGTTGATTGGCTGAGATCTCTGGGTGCCCACGTGCTAGCAGTGGGGGAGGGCTGGGGGCACTCAGAGGAGGGCTTAGGAGGATGGGGGTGCTCAGAGGGGGGCTTAGGGGGAGGGGGTACTCAGCGTGGGGGGATTGCTGAGGGCACTCAGAGGTGTGCTCAGGGGGACTGGGGAGGCCAGGGAGCCTCCAGTGGTGGGGGCACTTAGGCCCCAGCTGGGGAGGAGGGCTGGCTGTGGTATTCAGAGTGAGACCGAGGGGGACTGGGGTTAGGGGTGGGCTTGGAGGGAAACCCAGAAGGCAGTGCTGTGAGCTCACCAAGGGACTCACATGGGGTCTTTGGAGGGCTAAACGGAAGGGGGCTTCGCTGGGGCAGATTTAGTGAGGGGGCGCGGGGAGAGGGCCTCAGGGGGCCCTCTGGCAAGGCGTGTGTGGGAGCTTAGGGAGCCCAAGGAGGGGGGCGCTCAGCATCTTCTCAACCACGCCCCTGCTTTTCAGATCCTTCCTGACCACTTTTCCTTTGTGATGACTCCCATCCTGCTTTTTGTTCCTGGGAGTCCTGGAGACCAGCTGCTGTGGGGCCCAGATTCTCCTCTTGCAGGGCTCTACCTACCCCCTGGCCCCCTTCCTCCTCTGCAGACTTTCTCCTAGGTCCTGTGCAGGGCAGCTCCTCAGAAGATCAAGCCCCCAGCCTAAATGACCATGTGTCCAGCCTGGGCTACACACCCATCCCTAGCCCCTGAGCTGGGGAGGGGTCTCAGGGTACAAATAGAGCTTCTGAGAAGCCCGTACAAGCGAGGCAGTTCTGAGGGGCCTGTCTCACTATTTCCCAGCTGACTCACATGCCTCTGGTCTTCCCCGGCTGTGGTCCCTTCCTGGCCACTGCCTGCCTCCAGGCGAACCTTCTCGTAGTGTACCCCCATCCTCTCCTGCTCCTACATCTCCTGTTCCCTCTGGGCTGGTGGCCTGGGGATCCCGCTGGGAGGGTTGTGGTAGTGAGCAGTGCTCCTGGGGGCCGGGACGGGCTGATGGCATCAAGTCTGTGCTCCTTAGGCTGGTGAACAGGACACATTCTCTGCCCTCTTTGGGTCTCCAGCTGCGCCTAAGAACTAAGCTGCCATCAACAGGAGAGAAGCATACATGTTCTACTAAAGTCTTTACAGGTGCACGGGAGCCTTCACAAGGAAATGAAGACCCAGAGAAGTGACCAGAGCAGGAACGATCAATAGCAAACACTCGGGTGACAAAGAAACACTTAGTGAAGAACCGAAGTGACAGAGGAGTTGGGGCAGGGAGAGGACGTTGCTGGGAGTCACTGCAAGATGAGGCTTGTTTGCACAGATTTCTCTCCGCCTCATTCATCTCTGGTGGTAAGAATGTCTTCCTCCTGCTACCCAGGGGGCACCTTTCATGTGGGGGTTTAATATCCCGCTTTGAAGAATAAAAAGGAGGGTCAGAGTGGGCTTCTTGCCTCTGCTGTGTGTTGGGTGCCACTAACTCAAAGCAGTCGATATGTCAAATTGGCACATTTAGGAGTGACAGGCCCTGAAAGTCCTTAGGAGGCCCGATCACGTCTGTGGTCCCTTTCAAAGGGCTCCCGTCCTGGATAAGCTGCAGAGGTTCACGTTACAATTACAGGGAAAACAGCCCTGGCCTTGGCTGACCGGACAAGGGGGTAGGGAGGCCACGGCATGGCCAGGTTCCCCCTGCAAGCCCCCGGCATGCCCCTCAGCTGGCTTTGATCCAGCTCCGTGGGAGTTCCGCTGTGCAGCTAAAAATGGGTCCCTTCGTGAGCTGAGCAAGCCTTGAAGGTGGGTGGGCACCTGCCTGCCCAGCAGGGGTGAACTCACAGGCCTGGGCCGCAGGTTGTGGGCAGCATGGGATGCTGCATGCATGACATCTGTGCCTCTTCCCTGCAATCTTTCCTGTCCCCATCGTTTTAGACTTACAGAACAGTACAAAGCATTCCTGGATACCTGCATCCCGACTCCTTCAATTTACCATTTGTGCGTTACCCTTCATATACATCATATACACATCCTATTCCTGCAACCAAGAATTCTCTTACATAACCACAACACAATGATCAAAACCAGGAAACTATAAGACATACCAGTAGTATTTTCCACTCTGCAGACCTCACTCAGCTTGTCAGATCTCTGCTTCCTGCAGGATGCCTGATGCCTTTAACCTGAGATAATCTCTCCTTTTTGTCATAAATGATAACAATGCCTGGAAATATCATGGTTTTTACTTGTTAAACATCTACTAAGACTGGAGCTTGGAATATAGTGTCTTACCATTCCCAGCAACACAACAATGGAAAAGGTTATATTTCCAGTTTTACAGTTGAAAAAATAGAGACTGAGAGAGGTTAGTGCTTTGTTCACCTTTATGCTTTGGGGCTTGTGGCGGTGCTGGACTGAATCCGAGTTGGGTGACGGCTGGGTGATGGAGTGGAAGGTGGGCTTGCTTCTCAATAAGAGGGATAATGGGGTTGGGGAGTTTGCAACCACACAGACAGAGAGGTGGAGGCGGGCCCAGGCCAGAGAGGAGGGGAGAACCTCCGGAGTGGAGCTGGGCTGTGCTCGGTGTTGTGGTGTTGACTCGCAGTTTCCTTGACCTGAATCTGTTTCCCTGTCTGTAAGGTGCTGATAAAATCCTCCTCTCTTCTGTGAGGTCTGAATGAGGTAGCACATGGGGAGTGCTTGGTGTAAGGCCAATGGTAAGAGACCCACCAGTATGGGACAAGTGAACACATTTAGATCTATTCCAAGCAAGAACTGCCCTCCTTGTCCCTTTGAACAACTTTCAGCGGAGAAGGAGAAAAGGGGCTCCAGGGATTTTCTCCAGCAACGGCTGTCGCCCGCCCCCTATAGGACAACGGTATCAGCACAGCATCTTGGGACCCCGCCTGGCCTGCTGGTGAGCCTGTGTCTGTGGGTGACTGGCCTGACGTGGGCCAGTGTCTGTTCTTGATGTTTTGCACCTAAACGGGGGATGTGGAAAAGTCCTCTCCACGCTCTACACTTGAAGAAATCCAGGGAAGAGGGCTGGTCAGGGGGCAGGTGGCAGGACCTTCCTTGAGACACAGAAACATTTTTCTCTGCTCCTCCGGGCATATTTGCCGACGTCTGGAGACATTCTTGCTTGCCAGATGGCGGATGGGGTGCTACTGGTATCTAGTGGGTACACTGCATGGGATGGCCCCCAACAACTGGGGACAAGCCCCCATTATCCAACCAAAACATGAATAGTGCTGGGGCTGAGAAACCCTGATTAAGAGTAATGTGTAGAGTGATGCTGTTGGTTCTTCAAACAGGCTGTCTCTTCCCATCACCTCAGATCTGGCTGCTTCTAGCATGATTGTGTAAGCTCACTGCCAAATGCCAAAGACCAAGTTCCCTTTTATGTGGCCTGTGAGATGCCGATTACATAATACCATTTAATAAACAAGAAACGGGCAAGACGTGGAACTCTTATGGAACTCTGCCTCATTCAACCCCACCCATCGGCAAAGCATTATTTCAACATCTCAAGGCAAACGAGGCCTTCTAAGTCACTGTGCACCGGGCTGATGGCGAAGTGTGGAGCGGATTTTCTGTCCTTTTGTAGAGACACATCCCTGCTACCCTGTGAGGTCAGCCGCCTCCTACAGCCGTGCCTAGACGGGTGGCGGGCCAGCCCAGGAAGCCCGTACCCCGGCAGGCTGGTGCTGAGGGGTCCTGTGTGAGCAGGGACTGCTCCCACAGGGGCGCGACGGAGAGCGGGCGAGGACGACGAGCTTGCCTCCACATCCCCGCAGGAGCCTCTAGAAGAAAAGTTGCCTGCCCCTCACTTTTAGGAGATTTGATTCACAAAACCCAGGAAGGCAGTCCTCCCATAACTCAGAGCTCCTCTCTGGGGTTCCCAGAGCACTGGCGTGTGGGTGCTGTCAGGAGCTGCCCAGGACGGCTTGGGGCGGTCTGGGAGGGAAGGGCTCAGGGCACCCCAAGAGGGAGGGGGGGAGGTCCCGGAGGGCGTGGTAGGTCCCGGAGGGGGCGGGACACCCCAAGAGGGAGCGGGGAGGCCCCGGAAGGGACCGGAACCCCAGGAGGGAGAGGGATAAGCCCGGGAGAACTCCGGACGTCGCGTGAGGGAGAGGGCGGCCCCAGACAGGCCAGAGGGGCGGGCCCGGGCTTACGCGCAGGCGCAGGCGCTGCGCTGTCTTCCCCCCGCCCCTTCCCATCCCACCGCCTTCGTGTTTCCGGCCGCTCGTTTCTGCATCCGGGGCACGAAAACTCTCCGTTGGGCCTCGGGCGGCGGCCCCTGGCCGGAACCGGAAGTCGACCCCGAGCCAGGCGGGGTAGCCGGCGTCCGACCCGTCAGCAGCCCGTGGCGGTCCCCAGGGGCGGCGGCCGCGCTGCTCCCTGCGAGCCGGTCCCGCGGGCGGGCGGGCGGCCCGAGGGCGCGGCACCATGAAGCTGTACAGCCTCAGCGTCCTGTACAAAGGCGAGCCCAAGGCGGTGCTGCTCAAAGCCGCGTACGACGTGTCCTCCTTCAGCTTCTTCCAGAGGTCCAGGTGAGCGGGCCCGGGCGGCGGGGCCCCGGGGCTCGGGGGAAGCCCGCGGGGGGGGCCGGGGCTCCTCCGGTCAGGGGGGCCTCGGGGTCCGGGGAGGCC